CCTTAGTATCCAGTGTGGTTCCAAGACTGGTTCCAGATCGAGCTCGATGAGCTCTATGAATTCCATGTCTTATTTATCAATTTTGAGTAATTTATTGCTGAAAAAATGATAATTATTCATCTATTAAAGTTGTCTACACTTGCAAAAAAAATTTGATTGGTTGATTTATTCAAACCGATGGATATTTTAGTTTTAAAAAATGTCGTGCATTTCAACTAAAATTATTTTCATTATTGTTTCGTAGAAAAAAGTTATCTGTCATGTATAAACAAGAAAATCGACAAAATATATGAAAATAAAAAATATTTGTTTTTAATAAAATTAAAAATGAATAAATTTTTTTAAAATGAATTTGTGATAAATTAGTTTTCAAAATTATAAAAGTTAATTATTATGACTGAGAAAAAAGAATAAAATGTTTCTTAAAAAAAATTAGATAAAACGAAAATAAAAATAGAAAACATTAATATCGACATTTTATAGCGAAGAGGGAATCGATGCATATATCTGTCGTACGTCGATTCCAGAAATTGTTAGATTGGACTAATAATTTTCAGGGCAATATTAGTTTGACCTAGGACGTAACTATGATGAGATGAATCAGTCAGAAACGATACTAGACGAATGATAATTTATATAGAGAAGCTCATAATGTTGTATCGTTTAAGTTAGCGACGGAACTAGGATTCCGTGTTGGGTAGGGCTTAGCCCATCAGTTTCCTAAGATTCGATGTGGAGTAGAGCTAATATATTTTTTGTTACCTCAGAGATAATGTGAAAGTTTCAAAGAGATAAATCAGCTTTAGTTGATAATACTTCACATAAAAAATAGATAAATAAACGCAGAAGATAAGGCGTTTTACTTGACACTGATAATCTAAACAGAGGCGGTTTCGTTACCGCTGAAACCAACGACTACGAATTTGATAGTTTGTTAAGTACGTCCACAATTTAGGGTATACCTGGGATTGGTTGCCTGAGGCACGGCTACCGTTCGAAATCGATTTAGCCGAAGACTTCACAGAAAACAGCTAACTTGAAAGAAGAATATTAATTGTATTTTTCTGTCCTATAGTTTGAATTAGAGGTGACAGTATGTGCTACGGGGCAAGAGTCACAATAACGTCATCTTTAAGTAAAGAGGAGGATGGAGATGAGGCTGAAAATGTCGCGCGATGAATACCTGAGTCAGAGACAGATGTACTAATAAATAGTTTAATATTTTCTAATGTATCCATATGAATCTTTGACTTGTGATTCCAAAGTGAGTAACACCAATCTCGTAGGTTTTTAGTTTTTGTTTTTTCAGGAGAGCAACTTATACTTGTCAGACTGAGATTCATCTAACTGATGAATATTAAATCTTAATCTTTATTTCCGATGGAACCTATATATGGTGCATGAAATAGGAAAAAAACAGTGACACCTCAAAATAAAAAAGATAAAAACAAAAAATACGTAAACTATAACAAGGGAAGAGAAATGTACAAAAAATGCCTTAGTACGAAGGAAAGAAAAGAGATATATGTTTATTCAACGTGTTATTTACGTACCTTAGCAAAACAGAAGAGAGAGAGAGAGAAAAGGAACATACCAAATATACAAGAGTCGCGCTGTGACAATACTTTTAATCCTTTCTAGTTCATGCATGCTACTACGAGTGCTAATATATGGCACAAGAGATTACAGACTAAATTCATTTATACAGCTCTAAGTAACAAGGAACCATTGCATTAGTGATTCTGATACGCTCAGAAAACATGGCAATCTAAATTGCAAAATAGAAGATCTTACATTAAATTATCTATGCAAATATAAAATATAGCTAAATGTACTTCTTTATACAGTAGAAAAGGAAGGAGAAATTCTATCTTTCATAATATAATGGAATAGAAAAGTATCGTTGAAAGCTCTATTTCAGAAGAACTTTTCAAAACTTTCTAAGTAGGGCTCAAAGCTTTCTAACCAGGGCTTAGCCTCACCTAACCCTATTGGTGACTCCGCCACTAGTGTAAGTATAACTTTTGACACTGACACTATTCTTGAAAAGTTTTTAAAATTAGAAACAAAGTGTTATTGTATCATACAAAGTGTATTTTGAGAGGAACAGGTATTCTGTACATTTTTTTATGCTTGGTACACTTGCCATTAAAAATACTGAAAAGGAATAGAAAAATTAGAAGAGAATTTTTTGTATCGCTGTTAAAAGAGTTTTTATAAGGAAAGTCATCGTATCGTATTATAGAATAGTTTGTTATTTTGTATGATCCAATGAGTGATTATTGCATAAAAATGAAACGTAAAAGTATCAAAAGTGAAACTTCATTGATCATTTGTACAAGACTACATTTGTGTTAAAGATTGACACTAGCGATTATATGACAGTATAAATTTAGATTGTTGCTCTGAACGAATGATATATATGTAAAAATATACTGCTATGAATAAATTTTCTATATGAATAAAATATCAAAAATATATAAGCTGCTCACTTTTATTCAAAAATAAACACCACTCAATAGATATAGATAATGTATATAATAAATGGTGACTCGACAGTTCAACCCCCGACAACTGAGCTCTCGACAGTTGAGTTCCACAACAATTGAGCTCCCAATATAGAGCAGAGAATAGAGAAAACAGAAAATTCATTAATTCGTATGTGATTTATTGGACGAATTTTAAAGTGAAGCACTGCGATATGCGAAACCGTTAGAAGGTACTAATGGCAGGCTAGAATATATTTCTTTGGTTGAATCAATCATCTTTAGCAAACAAATAATTTTTCAAAATATATTTCATTTATTTATGTAAGGAAGACAATTGCTTGTGTACTTATCTGTTATTATTACTGCAAAATGTCCGTTATAAAATCCACCAGAACACCCAAACCCTCCGTAGTATCTTCTTTGTATTTGATTGCAAGAGAAATGTATTTTAATAGAGCACGCGCTCTCTTTAATTCTTGATGTGAATGTTATTTTGTTGAAGTAAAATTATTTTCTTGTGTTTTCTAACTTCTTCTTTATATTTGAGGTTCAATTGTCGGAAGCTCAGTTTCCAGTGTACCATGATAAATAGCTTATAAGTTATTTCTTATCAAGACGAAGATGAAACACTCAGTAAACATATCTAAGAAATCATTTTGTAGTCTGATGATTCTTATACGAACGAATATCATAGGAAATTCTCGCTGTCATTACTTAGATCTGTATTTCAGGACAAAATTCATGTTCTTTTTAGAGCGATTTATTATTAAATTCATCTGAACTTTGCATATTTCTCGTGCATAAGACTTAAAACAAAAAACTAATCTCTATAAACATCTGAGAACAATGCCTCTTAATTCAAAACCTTCATTATTATCTTCATTTTATTGAAACTATTTATCACCTTTTTATTCATCCATTTTGAATTTTACAAGTAATTAAAGAATGTATATATGACAAAATTTATTTTCACAAGATATAATTATTCATTTTTTTTAATTTTTTTTGCACGAAACATTTTATTCTTTTTTTCTCAGTCATAATTATTAACTTTTATAATTTATCGGACTAATTTAAAAAAAATTCATTTTAAAAAAATTTGTTCATTTTTAATTTTATTAAAAAGAATTATTTTTTATTTACATATATTTCCTAAAAGACAAAGTGCGTCATCTATATAAATTTTATTGTATATTTTATTTTGGGTACTTAAATTAATTTAAACAATGCTTAGTTTTCTTATCTATTTTCATTTTTTATTAAAAAATAAAATTTTTGAACAAAATAATAAAAATAATTCTAGTCAAAATCGAAATGCACGATATCATAGGAAATTAAAATATCCATTGGTTCAAAAAAAACAACTAATAAAATTTTTTTGTACATGTATATATATTTGATAGATTGATAATTACCATTTTTTCAGCAATAAATTACTCAAAATTGATAAATAAGACATGGAATTCATAGAGCTCATCGAGCTCGATCTGGAACCAGTCTTGGAATCGAGCTGATTGCTATAAATGCGAATCCGTTCAAGTTTTACTGTATTTTTAGGGTGTTTTGAGAGGTTTTCGGGGATTTTATGGGTCAAGGAAGGGACTTGGGATTTTTTTAATAATTGGAATCGATAGA